AATCTTCTTCAATTTCCGATGATTGTTCCGGTAAAGCTAATCAACAGCTGGCCAAAAGGAATCCTCGTTTTCTGGTGGGAACGAGCTTCGGATCTCTTCATCGAACAGTTTCACTCGAAATAAAATTGAGCTTAACATTTAGAAACCAAGAGGATTCTAGGAGCAAAACTCTTATCTGAATAAGAAAATATTGTCTTCAATCACTGCCCGGAAGCAAGCTTTTCCCTAAGAATGTACAACATTTTCCTATAGTTAGGCCAGATTGCCTCATTGAAGACCATATCTTGTTACAAACCCAGTTGGCAAACATATCACATGATAAGTGTCAACTGCCTATTTCAAGAGAGATTAAAAGGAGAGATCAAGGGCAATTAAAGCTATATTTTATAAAGACCATTGAAGCTCGGTACCAAGGGGTGCTCGTAGTGTTGCTAACAGAGATGAACTTCTGGATGGGTCTGCTCCCAATCACCGTTAGGATTTGCCTGAAGCCACATCTGACATGTTACTTGGATTTGCCTTGAAAGCCCTTCTGTCTCAAATAGCATCTGCGGTATCTCTTCCTCAAGTCGGCATGGTTGAAAGGTCGGTGGCCTTTGGTCCAACAATTCCAATGAAGTCAATTTGGTCTGGCAAAGTTCGACGCGAGCAACGATGGGACATACAAAACGAGTGATGCGGAGAGCATCCGAAGCCGACGTAGGCTAGACAAAAGGGAGACAATGGGTTCGGCGCAGTGACGCATATCTACTGCGAGAGAGTTAGCAGGCGTTAAGAGTAGAGCAAACGGAAATCTAATTTTTATTTAAATTCTGTATATATCTTTTGAGAAGGAAAAGTGTTAGTTGCTGTGTGAGTGTCGGGAAGGTGGAACATTTGAGCACACTCTGTTCGAAGTTCTCTGCAATAGCAGGCATCATAATCTCCAGCGTTAGACAGTGGACATTGTACATTAAAGACGTTTCTCTGTCACTTTTAGCACCAAAGGACAATTCGTTTTGGGAATACACCAAGTACATGGTTTGACTCTGGGAATTATGATACCTACGATAGCCTAGGACTTCGGAAAAAGTGTC